GGTTACTGGAGGGGGGATCAACAACAAGTATCTTGAGAAGTGAGACTTCAACAACAACAACAACAACAACAACAACAACAACAACAACAACAACAACAACAACAACAACAATCACTTAAGACTGGGGACACTCCGTTCTCACCAGTGCCAGGGTTTTCATAGGAGGCGGGCAATACCCCCACTTTGTGGGGGGGCCGGTTCAAGCTCTACCAAATTTCCAAACGACTCTTCGCCACCACCCACACCCAGCTTCCCGCCCTATGACGTTCGGACACTTCACTTCGTGGCATGCGGACGACCGTGGCTACTATTCAGGGCCCCGCGGCCGACGACGACGGCGTGCGCGCGCGAAGAAAAAACGAATGTGTCCCGCATGGTATTATTTGACAGGGATGATGGCCCTGGCAGGTGCGCAACCGTTGTCGCAGAAGTTCGAAAAAGTTGCTCGCAAAAGCCCGTTTGACAGAAATGTTTAAAAAGTGTTGGTTTTCCTACGAATCCGCAAGAGCGCGCGGGATGAGATTTTGACATTTTTTTTGTTGAAAAACCATTGGTTTTTTGATGTTTTTATGTTAAAATCGCTCCGAACACTAAGCTTTTGGAAGGATTTCGTCTTGCGCGCGCGAATGTCCACTTTACCTTATTTTTTGCAAGGGATTCTTGAAATTTGATTATATTAGAACAAGAAATGTCATTTTATAGTGTTTTTTGCAAGGGAAAGCGGGGGGAACAAAACAACCGGATCTTGATCACATCGAATTACCTGAGGCTTCCTCACGAAAATGATGAAAATGTAGCTGCGGCCTAGGCGGCGCAGGGGGGCCGTGCACCAGGGGCCCCAACAATAATTATTCTTTAGAATTAATAATGTTCAACAACAACAACAACAACAACAACAACAACAGCAACAGCAACAACAACAACAACAATGATAATTTTAAGACAGTTCGCCCTTATATGCTCCAGTGTCCAATAACGCGTATTTCCCAAACCCTCGATACCCGCCCTCTTCGTCTTCGATCGAACCCCTTTTGGGGGGTATACCTTTCTTCCCTGCAGGCCGGGCCCCGGCAAGCGGCGGGGCGGCCGCGGACCGTCGGCCTGGCCAACGGCAGCGCTGATCGGCGGGGCGGCCGCGGACCGTCGACCCGACCCCAAGAGGGACGGACAGGGGACCGACCACGACGACGACGACGACGACGACGACGACGACGACGTCGAAGACGACGGCGACGACGACGACGACGCGACGACGAGCGAAAGCGAGAGCGAGAGAGAACGACAGCAGGGCCACGAAGGGCACGAAGTAGGCCACGAAGGGCGACAGCGGGGACACGAAGGGAATGCGTATGGGGCCACGAAGAGCGCGAACGAGCGGGGGCCACGAAGTGCAGATAATGCGGGGCCACAGAAGGCAACTATGGGGCCACTGAGGGTAGCAACTGGGCCACGTAGGACAGTGAGGGGGACACAAAGGCGACAGCGGGGCCACGAAGGGCATGCACATGGGGCCACAACGGGCGCGACTCCTGGGTGCCTGGGTGTCGGGAGCGCGGCGCTTGGGCAAATTGCAGGAAATTCCAACGCAAGGCCATTCTTCAGTAAGTTGCAAGCAAGTCTCCAGCGAGAGCGCGACTCCAGAGCGCCGGGAGAGCGATTCCTGAATGAATTGTAAGGAAGTCCCAAGCGAGAGCGCGATTCCTGAATAAAATGCGAGGGAGTCTCGGGCGGGAGCGGGGGTCCTGGCTAAATTGTATGGAAGTCTCACGCGGGAGCCGTTGTTGTTGTAACCCGGGGGCCAAGGGCCCAGTTTGAGCAGGAAGACTTACCCTGTCAAAAAACAGGGTGCGAGCGTCGAGGGGCACACTTTGATTGAGAAAAAACAGTATGCACTGGTGGGGGGGGATCAACAATAATTATTTTTCAGAAATGAGAATTAAACAACGACAACAACAACAGCAGCAACATCAATAACGACGACGACGGCGACGACGACGACAACAGAAACAACCACAACAATCAGAACCACAACGAACACCACAACCGCAAAAATAACCATAACCATAACCACAACCACAACCACAACCATAACAACAACGACGACGACGACGACAACAACAATCATGTTAAGACTGTTCGCTCCTATCTGGTCGCGTGCCGTTCAACACGTATATCCCTAAACCTCGGTACCCGCCCTCTTCGTCTTCGATCGTACCCCCTTGGGGAAAAATCTTCCTTACATACCCCGTGCATTTGGCGCAGCCCAAAAAACACAGGAAGGGAGGACGGATGGAAGAGGAAGGGAGAAGAATGGAGCACGAGAGAGAGTAGCAGGAGGGGGGCTCGGAGCAGAAAGCACGTGGTAGAACCAGACGGGCAGATCGGGCGGGCAGACCCTGGAGTGCGGGTCGGGAAGGCGGGCCCAGGCAGCCAGGTCGAGCAGGCGGGTTGCTGAAGCATGAATCAAGAGGAAGACTCGAGCGGTAGCGCGATTCCCAAA